ATACAATGTCGAGTGCACATGAAAAGAGTAATAAACAGAAATAAAATATAAAAAAACAAACTATTATATAGACAAGGCTATATGAGAAGGTGTACAAGCACATGCAGTTAAAAATTTCCAAGACAATTTTTTTTCTGAAATGATTCCTAGGGTATTTGAAATTACTATTTGAATTCTCCTACCCTCTCTCTACCTCCATCAAATACCATTCAAATCCAAATTTTATTTCTTAGACTTATTATATTCATTACTATCCGTGCCCACCCTCTCTTGAAGTTTTTGCTCTTTTTTTTTTTCTCCCAAGCTAGAAGGGAGGTGGCCACCTGGTGTAGTCTGTGGTGCTCCCACCTGGAGTAAGGTAGCTATTGGTGCCTGGGTTTGATTACCAAGTTTTTTTTTTTTTTTTTTTTGAGACAGAGATCCTCGCTAGTTGGTCCAGGCTAAGTTGCGAGGTGCCGTGGGCGTCAGCCTAGCTCACAGCAACCTCAAAACCTCCTGGGATGAGTAGCATCCTTCTGGCCTCAGCCGTCCCGAGTAGCTGGGACTACAGGCATGTTGCCACCATGCCCGGGCTAAATATTAATAGTCATATATCAGGTGGCCAATTAATTCTTTTCTATTTATTAGTACGAGACGGTCGGGGTCTCGCTCTGCTCTTGCTCAGGCTGGTTTTGAACTCCTGACCTTGAGCAATCCGCCCGCCTCGGCCTCCCAAGAGCTAGGATTACAGGCGTGAGCCACAGCGCCCGGCCGATTACCAAGTTTTTAAGTAACACCAATGAGTCACCTTTAGTAATTAAAAATAAGAGAAAGGCAGGCTTTGAAAAATGTTACTAGCCATGTGCCTTCGTGTACCAGTCAGAGGCTTGGCTGTAAGCAGCAGAAATGGACTCTGGCTAAGCAGAGGAGTATGTCAACAGGCTCTCACACTGGAAGTGACAGAAGCCAGCCGCAAGAGGGCAGGAACTGGGAGAGGACATGAATAGAGACCAGATTAGCCCAGAGACCACCTGATGGGCTCTGTGGCTAAAACCCCACCCTCACCCCCAACACTGCCACCTCCATTCCCTGCTTTGCTGTGAAGAGCTCCCACCTCTCCTGAATCTTGACCTTCTGCAGCTGCTATGGTTTTGCCAGGATCCTTAACTTGGAGTCCAGCCCTGCTGACAGAGAGCAGGAGGCTTCGGTCCAGTGAAATGGGAGGTAGAGCAACAAAAAAGGATCCCCTCAGTGGGAATGGCATTTGGGTTTTGGGGCCCCCCAAAAAGTAAATTGTCCACTACTGTATTTCAGAGACTGGGCTAGTAATTTTCTATGTGTTGTAAAATGGTTCTTACTGTTCTAAAACAGAGACATATTTTTGCATTATGTTTTTTCTTTCAGATGGTTATGAGATTCCAGCTTCAACCTTGATGGATATTTTGCTAATGAATGATTTTAAACTTCTCATTAATGAAATAGCATATGATGTGCAGTGCCCCAAGAAAGGTAAGAAGCACAGCTATCCAACTATCTTAACTTTGACCTTTAGCCATGGGGCCTTTACAGAGCAAAGTTTATCTTAACAATCTTTTAAGTTAAATGACCAAGAGGGCTTTGGAGAACCAACGTTTAAACTTTGCTAGCAGCAGGAGGGTCAGTGATTACTAGAAGTTGCCTAGCAGGGCTTTGAGTCTCATGCTCTTTTTAGACTTTTAAGACTTCACCGTAGGTTCTTGAATGCTTAATATGACATTATTGGGTTAAGACATAAATCTGAAAATCATGAATTTAGCTATATATTGTTGTACAGCTCTTAACTCCTTTGAAAAAATAAACTTTACTTCTTAAAGCAGTTTTAGGTTCATAGCAAAATTGAGCAGGAAGTACAGAGTTCCTGTATACCCTGTGCCCTCTACCTCCCCATGTCAATATCCCACACCAGACTCATTCGTTGGTTACAGTTGATGAACCTACACTGACACGTCATCACCCGCAACCCACAGTTTACATTACAGTTCACGCTTGGTGTCGTACATTCTGCGGGTTGTGACAAATGGAGAACAACATGTATCCACCATGACAGTATAGCAGGTCCTCAGATAACATCCTTCAATGTCCTTCTGCTCTAACATTGATGACAAAAAAAAAATCGATTCCCAGCCAAGGCCACTGTGTGTGTGGAGTTTGTATGTTCCCCCTGTGTCTGCCTGGGCTTCCTCCAGACACTCTGGTTTCCTCCCTCCTGCCAGAGCTGTGTGTGTGCGATGCACTGGCATGTCCGCATTGTCCCAGTCTGCCTGGGTGTGGGTGTGGGGGCACCTGCAGTGGATGGCTTCCGTCCAGGGCCGGTTCTTGCCACACATCCTGAGCTACAGAGAAGGTCCAGTCGCCCACAGCACTGAACTAAATAGGAGGGTTGGAAAATGAATGGATGAATGAATACAAATTATAGTCAAAATTCGTAGTCTACGATAATCGTACAAATGCCCGATAGTAAGCGATGCAGTAGGAAAGCACACAGTGAGCCCACTGTATTTGTTATTGTTTATTTTTGAGCTGGTGGGAAGAAGTAATCCTCACAGTTTTTACTTTGCAAACATTTATTTATTCCTTGATTTAATCCACCACCACTACAACTGCTGTCACTCACTGAGTCACTACCTGCTTGATTTCCGATGAATGTTATTTCCATGTGTGCACATAAGTGTTGATCGATTGGTTCTAATGGCGAGTACATGTGGTGCTTGTTTTTCCAATCTTGTGATACTTCACTCAGTAGAATGGGCTCCAGCTCTATCCAGGATAATATAAGAGGTGCAAGATCACCATTGTTTTTTGTGGCTGAGTAGAACTCCATGGTATACATATACCACATCTTATTAATCCACTCATGTGTTGATGGGCACTTGGGTTGTTTCCACATCTTTGCAATTGTGAATTGTGCTGCTATAAACATTCAAGTATAGGTGTCTTTTTTATAGAATGTCTTTTCTTCCTTTGGGTAAATACACAATAGCTGGATCAAATGGTAGTTCTACTTTTAGTTCTTTGAGGTATCTCCATACTACTTTCCGTACAGTTTGTGCTAGTTTGCAGTCCCACCAGCAGTGTATGAGTGTTCTTTTCTCTCTGCATCCATGCCAACACTTATTGTCTTGGGACTGTGCAAAAGCCTTTTAATTGGACTGGTGCATTTATTTATTTTTGTTGTTGCCATGATTGCTTTTGGGGTCTTCTTCATAAATTCTTCGCCTAGGCCAATGTCTGTAAGAGTTTTTCCAACATTTTCTTCTAGGATTTTTATGGTTTCATGCCTTAGAGTGTTCTTGTATCTGTTTCTTCTCAATGGATTTCAGCTCAAAGTAACCCTTATGCCAAAGTGGCATATTTTTTGGTGACATTTCTGATCTCCTACACTCCCCTCATCCCCCACTTTTTTTTTTTAAAACAAATGTGTGTATGAACTGCCTTTTCATATCTACACTTTGTTGTTTCCTATGACTCTCCTTGTTGGAAAGAACATACACTTGAACTGCTTTTCAAACTTATACTATACTGTTGTTTACATGTTGTACACCAACTTGTGGATTCTAAAATAATTTTTGGAAAGAAAATTGGGGATCTTAGGGAAAGGGATCTTAGGTTGAACTTACATATAAAAGTGAATTCATAAACACATGTGTTAAAGGCTTTCACCTGCATTCTGGTAGATAAATAGTCCCCTTTTTCTGTATGCATAGTTTTAAAGAAAAGCAAAAGTCATATTGTAAAAGAGGAAAAGACAAAAACAATGAATTTTAAACCTGCTACCTGGTAATTTATTGTTCCAGATTGTCTTTATGTGAGAGAGACTGGTGGAGTCATCTGAAATAGGAAGAGAGGCCAAATGCCTCCCTAGGGGTTGGGAGTGTGCAGGTGCCAGGCCTGGGGGACCAGGTTTGGTTCCATGGACTTACATCCCTGCAAGAATCAGTTGTGGTGACCGCCTTTGTCTCCCTTGTGTCTTTTCTCAGAAAACCCGAGTAACGAGCTTGCTACTGAGATGGAAAACATGAAATCCTTGGTTCATAGACTGTTTACAGTCTTGCATTTAGAAGAGTTTCAGAAAAAGAGAGAGCAGGATTTACTGGATAAAATTGATCACCTGAAAGAACAGCTGCATCCCCTTGAACAGGTTAGAGGCAGCAGAGTTGAGTCTATTTGAAAATAATAACTAGTATTTATTGAGTGCTTCTCCTGTGAACGTTTTTTCTGAATGCTTTACGTATGCTCATTTTCTCCTTTAATCCTCAAAAAAATCTATGAATTCAGTGCTATTATCTTTTTCATTTTTCAGATGAGTAAACTGAGCAACAGAAGTCTTATAGCTAATATATGGTAGAGCATGAACTTGAACTCAGGTGGTCTGACTTCAGAGCTGCCATCTTAAACTCTGTGCTATGCCTTCTCGCCATGAATCAGTTACAATGTCTCTGTATATACCGTGTTTCCCTGAAAATAAGACAGGGTCTTGTATTTATTTTTCCTCAAGAAGACACCCTGGGGCTTATTTTCAGGGGGGTTTTATTTTCCCCTTAAAGCCTCAGCTTGCAGCACGTGCAGCATGGCTGGGACTGACATGGGGAGCTGACCTTGTTGGCGGGGCTGCCCGCACCTTTCCGGTCACCTCTGGGATAGTAGCTGTCACGACGGGGCAGATGAGAAGGGCTGCTTGTCTTCTTTACCGCTCGAGATGAAATGCGTGGGCTGTGCAGATACGCTGTGTAGCACCACGCCCGTCACTAGGTCTTATTTTAGGGGTAGGGCTTCTATTGTGCAAATGCTTAGAAATCCTGCTAGGGCTTATCTTATGGGTAGGTCTTATTTTCAGGGAAACATGGTAGGTATAATATGAACTGGATGTACTAGCTGGAGTTCTACCTCAGTTTCTTTTTTAGAGAATAGGCCAAGAGCCCTTGCTCTGTTTACCAGAATTGGAACTGGAAAGTTGGTAATGGCTTTCTAATATCTGAAGTTAAGCAACGGTGTAGAAAACATAACTTGGGTGAGAGTGGGGAGTCTGTTTTAAGGGAATGAAATGCACTCTTTAAACCTGTAATACCGGCCGGGCGCAGTGGCTCACGCCTGTAATCCTAGCACTCTGGGAGGCCGACTAGGGCAGATAGCTCGAGGTCAGAGTTCGAAACCAGCCTGAACAAGAGCAAGACCCGTCTCTACTGTAAAATAGAAAAAATTAATTGCCAACTAATATTATATAGGAAATGGTGTGGCATGCTATAGTCCAGCTACTCGGGAGGCTGAGCAGGAGGATTGCTTGAGTCCAGGAGTTTGAGTTGCTTGTGAGCTAGGCTGTACCCACAGCAACTCACTCTAGCTGGCAACAAAGTGAGACTCTGTCTCAAAAACAAAACAAAACAAAAAACCTGTAATACCATTAGTGAATTAAAAAAAAAATGGGAAAGTATATGTGTATTTTTGAATATGAATAGAAAGTTTTTGGAGATGTAAGAAAATTTTAATAGTGATTACCCCTAAGGGTGTTTGGAGGGATGACAGAGACTTTTTTGGTTTTGTTTTTGGATTGTTTACCATTTTAATTTTTTCTTTACTTTAAAAAATTTAATATATTTACTTGATTCAAGAATTTTAATATACTAAAAAGTTTTTCTGCCAACCTATTTGACCAATTACTATATTCCAACCTTGTAATCATTAAGATTTACTTTATGTACAAACAAATACAATATATTATTTTGTTCATTTTCTCAGAAGGGGAAGCATACTGTTTTGCCTGTATTATTCTTACCTATTTTCACTAATATATCATGGAAATCTCTCCATATGGTACAGAGAGCTTCCTCATTACACTTGCAGGATATCTTGATGGCCATATGGATTATTTTTGTCCTTTTGCTATTAAGAATGAATCTGCAATGACTCATGTGCGTGCAAGGGTACTTGTAGGGTGAATTCCTAGAAGAGGAATTGCTAGGTCAAAGAAAACAGGCCTCTAATTTTAGTTAGGTTTCAGAGAATAACTTCTGATGTTTTCATTGTATACCTTTTAATACTATTTACTTTTTTTTCCATAGATTTATTAATGAAGGCATTTGGAAATGAATAATTATTCATTAATGTATGTTTTATAACTTATTTTTCCATATATCAGACCTCTTTAAAGTAATATAGATGCACATTTATTCAAATGTACCTTTTTTTTCTTGCTTTTTTTCCTTTAAATGGGTGTACTTGTAAACTGGATTAACAGTTTTTCATCCTTCCCCAGGTGAAAGCTAGAATCGAAGCTCACTCAGAAGCTCAAACTAGCGGACTGCAGTGGGCTGGATTAGCACTGCTGTCTGTTCAGGGTGGGGCGCTGGCCTGGTTCACTTGGTGGGTGTACTCCTGGGACATTATGGAACCGATTACATACTTCATTACATTTGCAAATTCCATGGCCTTCTTTGCATACTTTTTAGTCACTCGACAGGTGAGTAGTTTGTTAGGAAAATGGTAAGTTAGAAGATCTTTGCAAGGAATTCTTTAACCAAGGCAGGCAATGAGCAAGAAAGCCTTTTAATTTACTGAGTTACCACTATCTGGGTTTTTATAAGGTGGTAAATTTTTTATTGTTTTTCACAAGGCTGGATGGAGACTTACATCCAACACAGAGAAACTATATGTAACCTCTATAAAGCAATAATTAGTATAACACACAAATTTCTCCATTGGGATAAACATGTCAAATTTATGTTCTCTGTGCCCTCATAAATAAATAAAACTAAATTTGTATTGCAAAACACACAGTAACTTTAGCTTTTTCTCATAGTTATTTTGCCCAAAATCTCCCTTTTCCCCTTTTCTCCCTTCTTTCTCAGGGTGTGTAATTTTTTCCCCCAGCTTGCTTGCTTTTGAAAGGAGCAGCTGATCTCACATGAGACTAAGTGTTTTATTTGTGCTGGCTTCTGCCTGCTCTGATGGCCGCTGCAAATATTTTACTCACTCTGCCTGCCTTTGCTTTGGTGTCACTGAGCCAAGTATATTTCTTACAGAGGCATTATGTTAATTCAACACTTAATCTTCTTTTTCTTTTTTTTTTAAAGGATTATACTTACTCAGCTGTTAAGAGAAGGCAGTTTCTTCAGTTCTTCCATAAGAAATCAAAGCGACAGCATTTTGATGTGGAGCAATACAACAGGTTAAAAGAAGACCTTGCTAAGGTATCTTACCACCAAGACATCTTACAGCTGGTTTTGTTTGAGAGGCAGAATTGAGTGTCAGGGAATTACAATCGGTGGCTCATCCTCACAGGTTAAATCTTGGTCCTAGATCGATTTCTGTGGATTGTGGGGTTGTTTGGTGAAATAGTTGACATATCTGATATTTCATATCCTACAGTTTTATTCTTGTTGGCTATATTCTCCACAGGGATAGCTTTGAATGTGTCTGTGACGACATCTTAAATGACTGAGACAGTAAAGGAAAAGTTTTCATTAAAAATTCTGTTTCTGGCCAGGCGCGGTGGCTCACGCCTGTAATCCTAGCACTCTGGGAGGCTGAGGCGGGAGGATCGATCAAGGTCAGGAGTTTGAAACCAGCCTGAGCAAGCGAGACCCCGTCTCTACTAAAAATAGAAAGAAATTAATTAGCCAACTAAAAATATATACAGAAAAAATTAGCCAGGCATGGTGGCGCATGCCTGTAGTCCCAGCTATTCAGGAGGCTGAAGCAGGGGGATGGCTTGAGCCCAGGAGTATGAAGTTGCTGTGAGCTAGGCTGACGCCACGGCACTCTAGCCCAGGCAACAGAGTGAGACTCTGTCTCAAAAAAAAATCTGTTTCTAAGCAAATAATAGAATTTTACGAAGGTGATAAGGAATTTAAACTCTCTAAAGGCATGTGTAAGTTTTTTCCTTAAAGATAGAAGAATCATTATAGTATTCCTCCCTTCATCTTTTTCCCTTCTTTCAGATAAGGAAACAGGCTCTTAAAGTCACTTAGGAACACACTGCTAAAAAGTGAGGGAACCATGGTGTGAACCCAAAAGTTTGACTCAGGAGCCCATCTATAAGTACTCCATTGCAATCTGTTTCTTAGCATTTGTTTGTGGCCTCCCAATTCACTCATTAACTTGTTCAGATGGTGACTTCTCAGTGCATAACTGGATTTTTAATTTTTCTTAGTAATTTTATAATAAAAAGTTTTGGTAAAAGTATTTTCCATTGCTCAATACATGCTCATTTAATAGTTGGTAATCACAATATCTTTGGTTATCTATACTTTTAAACTACTCATCTCTGAAATTTTAAAAAATTACTATAATTTTATAATCTAAAAATTGAAGCACCTTTTTAGAAAAGTATTTCATATAGTCATTACATAGGGAACATATAATAATGCTTTTTTAATTTTGTGGATTTGCTTACATTGAATGATCTAGTCTGAAAAGCCTAAGGAATGTTCTTTCCAGTTGGTTATTTAGGACACTGCATTTAAGATTTAAAATGGAACACCTCATAAAGTATTATTTTTGAGGTAATAGAAAAAGGGAAACTGTAAGTTACAGGGTATTTCTTTAAGGATGTAAACTAAATAACCATTAAAAACATAATATTTTTTAACAAGCATAAGGATGAGTTATAAACCTTAAACAAGGATCCATATAAAATGGAAATATTTTAGGCATTTGCCACTAACAGGTTTTGTTTGTTTGTTTGTTTGTTTTTTAAGACAGTCTCACTCTGTTGCCCAGGCTAGAGTGCTGTGGCGTCAACCTAGCTCACAGCAACCTCAGACTCTTGGGCTCAAGAGATCCTCCTGCCTCAGCCTCCCGAGTAGCTGGGACTACAGGCATGCACTACTGTGCCCGGCTAATTTTTTATATATATATATTTTTTAGTTGTCCAGCTAATTTCTTTCCTTTTTTTTTTTTTAGAAGAGATGGGGTCTCACTCTTGCTCAGGCTGGTCTCAAACTCCTGAGCTCAAATGATCGGCCTGCGTTGGCCTCCCAGAGTGCTAGGATTACCAGTGTGAGCCACCGCACCCGGCCTGCTTGTTTTTATTTTTTTTTTAAGAGTCTTGCTCTGGTGCCCCAGGGTGGAGTGCAATCATAGCTCAAGTCAGCCTCAAACTCCTGGGCTCAAGTGATCCTCCTGCCTCTGCCTCCCAAAGTGCTGGGATTACAAGTATGAGCCACGGCACCCCGCCTTTCCGCTAGTAGTTTAAATATTTTATTGCCCTAAGGAGATACTAAATATATAGATTTCCTCTCAGGCAGTAATGCTTATGTTTCTCATTCTTCTAATCTCATGGTTTTTCTTTTTCTCTTGACAGGCTAAAGAATCCCTGAAACGGGTGCGTCATTCTCTATTGGCGAATGCAAGTAGAAGAACTCAATGAAAAGAATTAATCTTACATTTTTAAACACCATTGGATCTTCTCATTATGTATTGCTTTTGCACCTTAAAAAGTAGATGTTTTTGAGTCCCATAGTTCATTTCAATTTGACTGTTGAATCTTTTTCAGTTAATAAATTCTCATAAAACAGAAGTATTCCTTGAAGTTCTCCCTTGAAAATTTAGTTTGTGGTTTTCATGACTTGTTAAGATGTTAGAAAGGGCTTGCATGCATCCATTAAAGCAGCAGCAGCTGCTGCTAGCTAAAAATCCTTGTCATACCATTCCATGGTTTTTCCCCATGTGGAGGTAAAAGGGTTGGTGTGCTTGGCATCTACCTTCATTCTTATGCTTGGAATTGTCTTTTTTTCTATTTTATTATTATTTTTTGACAGACCATGTCTTGCTGTGTTGCCTAGGCTGGACGCAAACTGCCTTAGCTTCCCATGGAATTACCTTGTTATTAACTTCTTTTTTTATTTTTCTTTTTTGTAGAGACAGGGTCTCCCTATGTTGCTCAGGCTGGTGTCGAACTCGTGGCCTAAAGCAATCCTCCCTCTTTAGCCTCCCAAAGTGCTGGGATTACAGGTGTGAGCCACCATGCCTGGCCAAATTTTTTTTTTTTTCAAAATATTACAAGTGTTTCCATTACATGGATATCTTATAAAATGCTTAAGTTAGGGTTTTTTAGTGTGTCCATCATCAGAATAGTATTCATTATACCCAATAGGTAAGTTTTTATCCCACACCCTCCCACCCCCCCTTCTTGGTTTTTCATGTCCTTTATATCACTTTGTGCCCATGTGTACCCATCTATTACCTCCCACTTATTAGTGAGAACATATGGTGTTGGGGTTTCCATTCCAGATATACTTCACTTAAGATAATGGTCTCCGTTTCCATCCATGTTGCTACAAATGACATTAGTTGATTTCTTTTTATGGCTCCGTGGTGTGTGTGTGTGTGTGTGTGTGTGACATTTTCTTTATCCACTCATGAAATTGAAGGGCACTTAGTTTGATTCCACATCTTTGCAATTGTGAATTTGCTTTCGGGTGTCCTTTTGATAGAATGACTTCATTTCCTTTGGGTAGATACCCAGAGTGGGATTGCTGTATCAAATGGTAGGCCTACATTTATTTCTTTGAGGAATCCCTATACTGTTTTCTATAGAGGTTGCACTAATTTGCAGTCCCACCAACAATGCATAAGCATTCCTTTCTCTATATATCTATGTCAGTATCTGTTGTTTTTTGACTTTTTAATAATGGCCATTCTGATATGGATAAGGTAATATCTCATTGTGGTTTTCATTTGTACTTCACTGATGATTCGTGATATTGAGCATTTTTTTCATGTTTGTTGGCCATTTGCTAACTTCTTTTGAAAAACTTCTGTTCATATATTTTGCTCACTTGTTGATGGGGTGGTTTTTTTTTCTTGCTGAATTGTTTAAGTTCTTTGTAGATTCTGGGTAACAGTCCTTTGTCAGATGTATAGTTTGTATTTTCTCCCACTTCGTAAGTTGTCTATTTACTTTGTCGCTTATTTCCTTTGCTGAGCAGAAGCTTTTTAATTTAATTAAGTCCCCTTTTTTTGTTGTTGTTTTTGCTACATTTGCCTTCGGGGTGTTAGTCATAAATTCTTTGCCTAGGCTAATGTCTAAAAATTTTTCCTACACCTTCTTCTAGAATTGTAATGGTTTCATGCCTTACATTTAAGTCTTTAATCCATCTTGAATTAATTTTTGTATATGGCAAGAGATAGGGATCCTGGTTAATTCTTCTGCATGTTGCTATGTAGTTTTCCCAGCACCATTTATTGACTAGACTAGCTTCCTTTCCCCAGTGTATGTTGTCTGTTTTCTCAAATATCAGTTAGTTGTAGGTAGATGGCTTTATTTCTGGGCACTCTCTTCTGTTCCATCAGTCTATGTCTCTGCTTTTATACCAATACCATGCTATTTTGGTTACTATAGGCTTGTAGTATAATTTAAAGTCAGGTAATGTGATGCCTACAGATTTGTTGTTTTTACTTAAGATTCTTTGCCTATTTGGGCTTTTTGTTTCCAGATAAAGGTTAGGATTATTTTTTCTAGATCTGTGAAATATGATACTGGTATTTTGATGGGGATTGCATTGAATCTGTAAATCACTTTGGGTAGTATGGACATTTTAACTATGTTGATGCTACCAATCCATGAGCAGGGCATGCTTTTCCGTTTGTTTGTGTGATCGGTGATTTCTTTCATCCGTGTTTTATAGTTCTCCTTGTAGAGGTCTTTAACATCCTTTGTTATGTATATTCCTAGGTTTTGGGGTTTTTTTTAAAACCTATTGAAAATGGTATTGAGTCCTTGATTTGACTCTCAAGTTGACTGTCATTAGTATACAAAAATGCTACTGGTTTGTGTACACTGATTTTGTAACCTGAGGCTTTGCTGAACTTATCAATTCCACTGGAGTCTTCAGGGTTTTCTAGATATGATAATATCAACAGATAGTTTGACCTCCTCTTTCCCAGTTTGGATGCCCTTCATTTCCTTCTCTTACCTATTGCTCTGGCTAGGGCTTCCAATACTATGTTGAATAGAAGTGGTAACAGTGGACACCCTTGTCTTATTCCAGTTCTTAGTGATGCTTTCAACTTTTCCCAATTCATTATGATGTTGGCTGTGGGTTTGTTGTATATGGCTTTTATAATTTTCAGGTATGTTGCCTTCTATGCCTAGTTTTTTTGAGTTTTTATTTTGAAAGGGTACTGGATTTTGTGGAATGGTTTTTCTGCATCTATTGAGATGAACTTGTGGTCTTTGTTTTTGTTTATGTGATGACTCATGTTTATTGATTTGTATATGTTAAACCATCTTTATATCCCTTGGATGAAATCCACTTGATCATGGTGGATTATCTTTTTGATGTGCTGTTGAATTCAGTTTGCTATTATTTTTTTAAGGATTTTTACATCAATGTTCATAAGGGATAATGGTTTGGTTTTCTTTGTCGTGTCCTTTCCTGGCTTTGGTATCAGGGTTATACTGGCTTTATAGAATGAGTTAGGGAGGATTCCCTTCTTCTTGATGTTATGGAATAGTGGAATATGGAATAGGTACCAGTTCTTTGTAGGTCTAGTGGAATTCAGCTGTGAATCCATCTGGTCTGATACTTTCTTTTTGTCAGCAGATTTTTTGTTACTGCTTCAATCTCACTGCTCATTACTGGTCTGTTCGGGGGTTTCTATTTCTTCCTGATTTGGGCTTGGGAGGTTGTGTGTTTCCAAGAATCTATCCATTTTCTCTAGGTTTTCTAGTTTGAGTAGAGGTTTTCATAGTATTCACAGCTGATATTTTGTATTCCTGTGGTATCAGTTTTAATGTCTCCTTTTTCATTTCTGATTGAGCTTATCTGAGCCCTTTCTCATCTATTTCTGGTTAATCTGGCTAGTGGTGTATAGATTTTATTTTTTCAAAGAACCAACTTTTTGTTTCATTGATCCTTGCTCCCTTTCTCCCAACTTCTCTTTTTAATATGCAGTAGCTATAAGGAAGATCTTTATCAAAAAGGTGTAGATAAATGTCCTGCTAACCATAAAGTACAGTTGGTACTTTTTGAACTGCAACTGAAACAACATATGTAAACTATTGCTTTTGAACTAGCAATTCACAAGTTACAGATATCAAACTGAAAGCTCATTTAACCTTCTTTAGCCTCTGGAAGGCTATTAACAAAACAGTATTATTCAAATGTTATCTATTAATAAGAACTGGACCTTAACAGTAACATCTATTCTATTAATGTGATAGTTTGTGAATGGGTCTGATGACCATTGGACAGTATGGGAACTTAACATGGAAGATGCTGGCAAGGAATTAGATTTTGCAGATGTTTAGCCTATAGTAGCTAAGAATTAGTATGTTTTAATATTTCATCCTCAGGCTGATTTTTTTAAAGTAGGAATTAATAAGTCTGCCATAAATTACACAAATAAGAATGTGACTTAGAAAAATTTAATAAAACATGAATTTCAAGTATTTTATTAAGGGATAACCACCTAATTCTTGGGTTTCAAAAACCTTTAAAAACATTATACATTGACCAGCCTTATAAAAAATTAAAAAACCCCATTATATAATAAACTTTCATAAAAAAGTAAAATACAAGTTAAATCAGCCAGACATTTTGCATAACCTTGCAGTTTACTAAAAAAATCAAATATTACAAAAGTTTGTAGCTTTTTATTTATAGTAATTTTCTGAGGATTATGTTTCTACATATCAAACCCTTTCACCATGTCCAACATGAACTATTTAGTGAGAAAAAAGGCAGTTCTTTGCTGGGCATTAAGCCTAAAAATATTTTACACATTGCAGGACCATGTGCTGCAACCTAGTGATCCTTATCGATATAAAAAGGGAAAGATATCTTGAATACAGATTTTAAGATAAAAATAGCCTCTATTACTTAGATTTTGGAAAGAAATGCAGCTTTTTAGTTAGCATGGAGGCAAAGCAGGGAACCTGCTTCTTTCCAATTGCACTTGGGTCCTTGCAGAAGTCCACTCGGCGCCGAGACACTTTCCTGTTCACCAGTGTGAGCAGCTCTGTGAACTCCAAGGAGGAGCCGTATTTCCCCAACATCTCACACAAATCTTGAATGTACCACGAACCCATCACAGTTTCCCGGTGAGAATAATAGCCTAAAAAATGAGGAAGAAAACGTTACTGTAGTTTTCTGGCTTTCAATTACTGTGACTGAAAAACACCTTCATAATTTACAGTTATAGAAGTGTAAGCTCTCAAAAATCACTGGAAAAGCCATATTATGTGTCCGTAATATGGCTTTAAAATTTTTCTGTTGACAATTCTATATAATTTCCTAAAAAATTCCCAAGATGGTAGTCAGAAAATGATTTTGAAAGACCCAAGATTATTAGAAAGTAAAACAAAATTATTTACCCATATAAGCAAAGAATAACTATTACTCATAGAAAGTTCTGTTGAAAAATATTCTGGTATTACCACAAGAGCACTACCACCATCAGTAACTGATAGCAGGCTCCTAATATTTAATATAATTAGACTTATTGCTTTATCCAACGTAGCATTCAGGAGTGGTTTTTCTACAAGGTATTTTACCCTTTCAATTTATCTCTTCACATCATGTGATCAAAGAAATCCTTTCTAAGCCTGTGAGCTTCAGGATCAAATCACCGTGTCCCAACAGAAGGACCTGACCCAAGCTCATCAAAGGTGAAACTTACAGGAACTTAGCCAAGAGAGCCACTTATGTGTTTGTATTGAACAGCAACACACCTTCGGCAACCGAGTAGCACATGAGGAAGTCTGCCCCGGCAGGCAGCGTGTAAACTGAGGCTGCGTCCACCTCCGTTACGTTGGTGTCCAGCTTGTCAGGCTGATGATCCACTTCATCCAAAGGAAGGACGGGCACGTCATGCTGGTTTCCCCGACATGCCTACCAAACGGGAGGGAGAAAACCACCTCTCCTGCTTACTGTTTTCTTCCTAGTGCTCACTGTGTACAGCAATGTGTATGTCGTCGTTTCCACGGCAGCAGAAGGCACACAAGCAGTTCAAACGCAGTACATTCAGGTTTGGTGGAGACCAAAGCCGACAAGGTTGGTTCCCTGGTTTTGTTTTTTTTAACATTAACTAAAGAAAACATGTCATCCCCAACTACATGCCAAATTATAGTGGTTGAAAGGTACAATGTAGAGAAAGACAAAGCTTGTGCTTTTAAAATTTCTTAATGATTAACTACACCCATAGGACCAAGAATCACCTTCTCTTTTAAAAGCTGTAATCTTTACCTAAGTGTTTCTATTTAATCGGGTACTGTATTTCCAGATGGGGTTCTGCTTGCCAGGCTGCTGCCGTACATTGTTAAGTCAAGATGACCTGCCTGGCCTAAGAATAGACACCCATTAACATGCCTTCCTCCCTTTGCTCCCACTGTGAAGTCTCAAATACCCACTGATTCTGACTCAGAGGCTAACATTAAATTATTCTCTCAAGTGACTGTTACAAGCTGAAAATTCATATGCGGAAGTTCTAGCCCCAGTACCTCAAATGTGACAGTATTTGGAGATAAGGCCTTTAAAGAGGTGATTAAGATGAAGGAGGTGGTTTGTGTGGGCACTAACCCAGTAAGACTAGTGTCCTTATTTTTTATTTTTTAGTTGGCCAATTAATTTATTTCTATTTTTAGTAGAGACGGGGTCTGGCTCTTGCTCAGGCTGGTTTCGAACTCCTGACCTTCAGCGATCCTCCCGCCTCAGCCTCCCAGAGTGCTAGGATTACAGGCGTGAGCCACCGCGCCCGGCTGACTGGTGTCCTTATAAAGATAAGAGACTGAGACACAGACAAGCACAGAAGGAGAGACCACACAAAGGCACAGTGACAAGACGGCCGTCTGTAGGCCAAGGAGAAAGCCCTCAGGTTCCCTCAGGAGAAACCAACCCTGCTCTCAGACTTCCAGTTTCCAGAACTGAGATCAGAATGTCTGCTGTTGAGGCCACCCAGCCTGTGGCATTTTGTTATGGCAACCCTATAAACTAATGCACTGACCTAACAAGATTCTGTTGTACATTATAAATACCTCAATTCTGAAATGGTTAATTACAGAATTAAAAGCATCAAAAGAAAGTCCTGAGTGATTTCAAAGTTGTCAAATAAATGGAAGATCCCTAATCCCCCATTTTTACAGGGAGGTTTTCGTCTTAGTATTATCAGGCTTATTTTCAGACCTTATTTTCCACTTTCCTTCCTAAACATAACACAGAACTCCGCTAACTTGGCGTCACCTGCCAGGCCAATGCAGTGAGAATAAGAGGCTTTGTCGAGGGCTTGCCACATGCCAGGCACTGTTCTAAGGTGTCCTTTGTTAGGTCAGGTCACTCTGTCCTCACAGCCCCTTGAGGCAGGCGCCGTTACCCTCAAGTCACAGATAAAGAATCTGAGGCACAGAAAGATAATTTGGCAAAGCATGTCCTCCACCAAGGCTAATGACTCGATTCGTTTGTGTCGACAGTGTTGGCCACTCCCTTTTTCATGAACAATCACGTCACTATTTTCACTGGTTTTTTTCCCAATTTTTCTCCTGTTCTGTCACCTCTCTTTCCTCTTCAGCCCATTCCTCACTGGTGTCCCTCAGTTTTGTTTTACTCTCAGTTTTCAGGCCATAGTCCACGCGGTTGTAAACTCATCTACCGCCCGGCTTCCGTTCCGGACCAGCCCGATGACTCCCAGCGCGCTGCGCCAGCCCGGGACGCCCGTCTTAGGGTCTAGACTTGTATCCCCAACTCCGTGTCCCACGGGCATCCCAGCGCAGCCGTCCAACCCAGAAGCCAAGCCGTCGCCCTGAACTTCTTTGCTTATGGCCACCCGCTCTCCCCCTGCCCGGGCTCTCCCCGCATTCTTCCCGCGGGCCCAGAGCGAGCCGGTCTGATGGGGCTGTCGTGCGTGACTCCACTCGGCCAGGGAGTCGCACGTTGGTTATTTTGTGAGTCACTTCAAATGTCAACCCAAACACTGTTTTTATGTAATAAAGATACTGAGTGTCAAGAAAGAATGGTCACTAATAGCCCAAAGTGCAACTGATTGGCTAGGATTCAAAGAGGACCTTTCCAGTTACTTTCAGAATTGGCTTTTAGACCTTTATCATCTCATGCATAGAACCGGGGACTCTGTAAGTAAGATGATAATCAGTCTTACCTGAATGATAAATATCTTGGGTTTTCCAACCAGGCTCTGACACTTGTCTCCTTTGAACAAGCCAGTCAGCGTCTGAATTTCAATTTTAGCGTCATAGGCGTAAACGTGATTGCCTTCGCCGTGGCTCAGGAAGACGCACAAAAAGCAGTCAGCGTCGGCGTGGCTAGAAGTTGACACTATAAAGCCCCCCAAAAAGTACACACAGAAATGAAAATAAGATGCCTGTTATATTCATAGGATTGGGGGAAGCAGAAAATTTGTTCTTTAAAATATCTGTAATAATTTAATCTTTAATCAATGTATCATACTGTATCTGATTTTTTTTTTTTTGAGACAGAGTCTCGCTTTGTTGCCTAGGCAGAGTGAGTGCCATGGCTCAGCCTAGCTCACAGCAACCTCAACTCCTGGGTTCAAGCCATCCTTCTGTCTCAGCCTCCCAAGTAGCTGGGACTACAGGCATGCGCCACCATGCCCGGCTAATTTTTTCTATATATATTAGTTGGCCAATTAGTTTCTATTTATAGTAGAGATGGGGTCTTGCTCTTGCTCAGGCTGGTTTCAACTCCCGACCTCGAGCAATCCACCCGCCTCGGCCTCCCAGAGAGCTAGGATTACAGGCGTGAGCCATCACGCCCGGCCTGTATCTGATTTTTAAAAATCTAAACTTATTAAATTTAAAAGTCATAGAGTTTGACCAAATTTCATTAGCTTTTCTTAAACATTGAATGATGTAGAGAACATAAAGGAATTATGATGGGGAAACCTCCTTTAAAAGCTAAATGTTATGGCCAGGTGTGGTGGCTCGTGCCCATAATCCTAGCGCTTTGGGAGGCCAGGAGTTTGCAATATGGCGAGACTCCATCTCTACAAAAAATAAGAAACATTAGCCAGGTGTGGCGGTGCACACCTGTAGTCCTAGCTCCAGGGGAGGCTGAGTCAGGAGTTCAAGGTTGCAGTGAGCTGCAATGATCACACCGCTGCGCTCCCGCCCAGGTGGCAGAGTGATACCCGGTCTCAAAAAAATAAAATGAAAATAAAATCCAAGCTACTGTGGCAATAAATTAAAAGTTTGTTTGAATTCAGAGCCCTTCTTAAGAGCAGACTGGAAAGACCCGGAAACTGCTGCTCAGCAGCGCCCCCCCACGCCGCTGCATCTCCAGCGAAGGCAACATTCGCTGCCTGTCTTTAAGTCTACAGCGCTGAGAGCTTCCAAGAGTGTGAAGACACGAGACTGATGTCCTTCAAAGCTTGATTAAAGTAGAAAATCTGGCCAACAGCCAGTTAAAATGATGCATGGCTTAAGGAAGAGCTCTGAAGTTTAGAATAATTATCCAAATATCCTAATAGTTAATTGGCAAGTGATTTGAAAACTCATGGCATGCAGTGATGATTATAAGTTATAATAAGAAACATTAGCCAGGTGTGGCGGTGCACACCTGTAGTCCTAGCTACAGGGGAGGCTGAGCCAGGAGGGTCGCCTGAGTCCAGGATTTCAAGGTTGCAGTGAGCTGCGATCATACCACTGCACTCCAGCCTGGGTGACAGAGTGATACCCTGTCTCAAAAAAATAAAATCCAGAATATCTACTGCACAGTGATGTTATGCAAATTAAAGGAGATAATGAATGTAAATCAACACTTTTGAAGCCAGTGAGAAAATGGGGTGTGGAGAGTCAATTTAAAAACAGGCCTATCAACTGCCCGACACCTGTAGCATTTCTATCTTAGACTTTTACCACCAAACGAACAGTTCATTTCATGCAGTTCTAGAGTAACAGACTGTAGAATGCTAAATATAAACCTCGGAGGCATAATACTTTGCAGGGATCTCCAAATCTAGTGGGTGATATAAACAGAGGTGCAACCAAACCCTACAACCCTTGCTAAAGGAATAATACTTTTTTGTCACACAATTAATTTTGGTTTTTTTTGAGACAGAGTCTCACTCTGTTGCCCAGGCTAGAGTGCCATGGTGTCAGCCTAGCTCACAGCAACCTCAAACTCCTGGGCTCAAGGGATCCTCCCGAGTAGCTGGGACTACAGGCATGTGGCACCATGCCTGGCTAAGTTTTTCTATATGTTTTTAGTTGGCCAATTAATTTCTTTCTATTTATAGTAGAGACAGGGTCTTGCTCTTGCTCCGGCTGGTTTCGAACTCCTGACCTTGAGCAATCCGCCCACCTTAGCCTCCCAGAGTGCTAGGATTACAGGCGTGAGCCACCCTGCCCGGCACAATTAATTATTTGTACCTGTTTTTACAGCGAGGATAAAGGACTAAAGGCCAGAGGAGGAAGAACTATTCAAGAGCAAAGCTACCTACCCTCGTGAATTTTGAGCAGTAGTTCTTCTGCTTTGAGATCATTAAAGCATTTCACCTCAAATCCTAGGTCTGAAAACCTGGTGATATGGTAAATGGAATGTTAGCTTGAAAGATTTTCAAAGTTGTCAAACACCCTTACTTTTGAGGAATCTATACACATTTTTATGACATATACATTTACTTTTCTTTAGGAGAAAAAAACTCGATAGGACGACGATGGTTTTCCCTTGCTTCGCCCAGGGCGGGGAAGGATTTGCTCGTGACAGCTGATTCAATGCGGAGCGGGCGACACGCTGCACCGTGTCAGCGCCAGGCCAAGCCCTCGGCCGAGCGGAGCGGCGCAGGCGACACGACCCGGCACGTGCTTAAGGCAGGCTGAGCCCAGCAGGCCTCTCCGCAAGGACTCGGGATCTGTGATCGCGGCGTGGTAAATATTCTGCTACCCCTCGGTGTCCCGGCGTGTGACACGCTACCTGCGGGTGAGGTTGTCCCTGTCGGCGCTCGAGCCCCGCCTCTCCGGCAGCGTCAGGTGCCAGAAGAACCTCTCGTGGTTGAAGATTAAAGCGACCCCTCTCCTCCTGTGGTCCATCCTGTACTCTTCTGCCGGATCAAACGTTTCACTGTTAACGCAACAGAACAGTCACTTCAAGTGACTTAAATAACAAGCTCCTCCAAGGCCCGGGGCACGTGTGGACAGAGGTCACTGCTTCCCTCCCGCCAGGCGACACTCCTGTGTGCTCTGGGGACGGCCGTGCTCAGCAGAGCCCTGGAATGTGTCTGCACCAACTCATGTGGACGCGGCCGCGCCGGCCTGGGCCCCGCCCCGCCCCGGCCTGCATGTCCTTGCCCTGCTGCCCAGGACCCGGGACAGCCTGGCCCAGGGCCACGCTCCGGCCCTAGGCCCAGCGTGCCGATGACTCTCCACCTAGCGACGACCTGGAGCGTCGCTCCGGCTCCGGGACCCGCCTGCGCGGCCGCTTGCGAGCCAGCTCCCATTCTTGCTCGATTCCCAGGCTGACCCTGACCGCCCAAGGAAGAGCCCTTTGACAGAGAAGAGCACGTGTTTACCTTTTATAGAAGGCATCTGCTTCTGTCATGTTTTGCTCCCCACCTATTAAAAAAAAAGTTGACTTTTGTTAATTAATTTATTTTTTGACTTAATGGTAGTAAAGCCCGGCAGAAACTCCCATCCTCCCTGTGACTCCTAAACTCTAAGACGCGTCTATTTTGGTTAGTTTAACAGCCGGAGTATTCAAAGAGACGGGATAAGGGGAAGAAAAGGGAAACGGCTTGCTATTAATAACAACTAACAAATGCACTGTAAATTAAAGCTCAAAGCTTTCTCACCCCAACTCTTACCTGCAAAGTAATACATAATCTTATAAACAGAAATGGAGCAAATGGTGCACAAATGCATTCAGTGCAAACTACGCTTACAGCAACACAGTTCTGTGATTATAGAACTTGAATGAAATAAGAAAATGGTTAATGAGGAAAATGGTTTTTGCGAATATTTTCTGAAATGGAGGAGGACTAGAGTCCCGCGGAGAGCTGCACTGCAGTGGCGTTAGTGCAGGGTCTCCCCCGAGGCCCAGAGAGCAGGTTTGGGTGGAGGAAGGGTCCCAAAGGCTCAGAGCGTGATCTGCATTTCTGACCCTGTTGTGGGAGCCCTCCACTCCCCTCTCATCAGACTTCTCCTCCCTCCACAGCCTTCCCGCGTCCCTCGCCACTCCCCGAGCAGTGCTGTGCAGCAGGACTTCCTGTGCCGACGGGACCGTTCTGTTCTGCGCCGTCTCATCGCGTAGCCGCCGGCCACGCGTCTACTGAGCACTCGAAAGGCAGCCAGTGCAACTGGGGAGCTCAAGTAATGTAAAAAATACCCACCCGTGGCCCGTGGGTTCCATATGGGACAGTGCGACACGCGTAGCGTCTTCTACAATAAGGATCTTTCTGCTCGTGAATCTGTTTTCTCCGGATAAACCCAACAGCTTAGAGGGGAGGGGGAATACGAATAAACTGAGACACTGACAGCACAGCGAGATGTGCCCCTTGAGGAAGAATGAGCCCGAATCGTGGACGCCAGCCCGTCATCTAGCCGAGAGGGTCGGGTTGCCCCTCCTCACAGCCCCGATCACCTGACTGCTCCAACCGCACTTCTCCCTGACGAAAGCACGCCCGGGGGTGGCGGTGAGGCGGGGGACTCAGTTCAAGACCCCCTTAAGCCAGTCACATTAGCCTGTTCCTCGCGGAATGGGCCCAACAGCCAGACCCAACCAAGACCCCACTAAGGCGTCTCCTGTCAACAGGATCTAAGTCACCCCAACCTGCTGCATCAGAATTTTGGGTGTGCATGTCAAAATGCAGATTCCTGGATCCTGAGACAGTCAGAATCCTGGAGGAAGGGGGTGGCGACCTGTATTTTTAACAAGGTGATCTTTTTTTTTTTTTTGAGACAGAGTCTCACTTTGTTGCCCAGGCTAGAGTGAGTGCCGTGGCGTCAGCCTAGCTCACAGCAACCTCAAACTCCTGGGCTCAAGCGATCCTCCTGCCTCAGCCTGCGGTAGCTGGGACTACAGGCATGAGCCACCATGCCCGGCTAATTTTCTATAGTATATTAGTTGCCAACTAATTTCTTTTTATTTATAGTAGAAGACGATGGTCCGCTCTTGCTCAGGCTGGTTTCGAACTCCTGACCTTGAGCAATCCGCCCGCCTCGGCCTCCCAGAGTGCTAGGATTACAGGCGTGAGCCACCACGCCCGGCCTAACAAGGTGATCTTTACACTAAAGTTTGAGAGCCAAACCAGCGTCTCTAACTGGTCCTCCGTACTGCACCCCCGCTGAGAAGGTTCTGGATTCCAACCCCCAGGTGAGCACCGTAACCAGGTGCGAGCTCCCCACTCCCGGCTCTGCAGAGGCGGCACAGGGAGTCCACTCCTTCCATTTTCAACCTGTCCAGGATCTGCCTCCTTTTGATAACGTCACCTCCTCACCTTTGACTCAATCGTATAAAGAAACAGAATCGCTTCGAACCAAGCAAGTTAAATCCACGTGCCAGAACGCCAAGTCCGCTGAGAACCCTGCGCAGCCTGGAAGACGCCCAGGCTGCCTGGGTGGAGGGGCGCTGGCAGGCCCGCGGCTCACCTGCTTTCCAGCCCTAGCGACGGCCCAGCGCCAGTGGCTCCTGGCGTGTCTGACGGAAGCTGTGCCAAATGGCCGGTCACCAAACGAGCTTGCGTCCCTGAGGCTAGAAACACTGGAGGTGTAGTCCTGAGTGTCTTTAAAGCTCTCATTTCTCATGTTCTCAGTGGGGGAGCTTCGCAACTCTGCTTAGATGATGTCATTTAAGATGTGAATTTGGGTTGTCTCATGTATCACCCTCAGCACTGTCCAGACCTACAGAGTTAGGATCGGCTAGCTAGTATTAAGTAGCTGCTCAAGAAACTTTGTGTAAAATGCTATTCAGGCTGTGCGAGTGGTGTGCACTTGTGGTCCTAGCTACTTGGGAGGCAGAGGCAGGAGGATCGCTTGAGCCCAGCAGTTTGAGGCTGCAGTGCATTGTGATCGTGCCTGTGAGTAGCCACTGTATTTCAGCCTGGGCAGCGTAGCAAGACCCTGTGCCTAAAAAAAAAAAAATTTGAAAGCTAACAGATTTGGCAATATGAGTGAGGGATTCTTTTTAAAGTTTGTTCTTGTTGTTGTTAATATTAATGCCATGGATGCAGAAAGAAACTGGGCTGTGGAAACTCTGGTTCTGGCCAGCGCTAACCTTCACCCTGCGTCCCGAGGCACCAACGAACGACAAGGTCCTGTTGCCACTCTAGCAGAAGCTGAGCCAGCACAGAGAGCCTTGGGGACAGACGTCAGGACCTAAGTTCTGGAACTGACCTTTTCTGGAATAGAAAAACTTTACACACAGATCCAGAGAAAACAACACTACTGTCCTGGCCGCCTTGAGCTGCATGTGCCGAGCAGGCGAGCTTTCTAGAAGGGCGCGCTTAACAAGTATCATTCAACTGCAGGAATACAAAAACATGATCTGGCTAAAACACAAACGGCTTTGACGTGGAGAAAACAAATTTTAGTGAAGGCGACACCCTTCAGAACACCATCAAAAATGTGTCCTTTACTAAATCTGACTGACCTCCTTTCACTTCTTTCCACCATAAGGTAACTGCCGCCTCCTTGTCCCTTAAAGCAGTTTAATTTTTAGAAAACAAATCACTAACCCTAACTTCCTAACCCCTCCAGATAACCCCTCCAACTGCGTGTTAGCGGCGGGCACCGCAGCGGGTCTCGCCGACCGGGCTGAGACGACGGGCGGACGGTCCCCGCGGTCGCAGGTCTCCTCCTCCGGCCGGGCTGAGACCGACGGGCGGACGGTCCCCGCGGTCGCAGGTCTCCTCCTCCGGCCGGGCGGGCCGGCCGCCCCGTACCAAGCGCTCACGCCTCCAAACTCCCTCGCTCGGCCTCCTGCCTCCCCTGCACGCGCGGCGGACGGCGACGGCGGCCCCGGCCCCGCCAGCCACGTGAGCCGCAGCCGGAGCCCGGGCCGGCCCCCGCGCCCGCGGCCGCCCCCCCAGCGCGCTCCCGGCCGCGTGCGCGTGGCGGGCGTCCCCGGGGCGCCGGCTAGCGCCTCGGCGAGAAGGCCGGCGCCGCAGCTCGCCCCGCCGGGAAGCAGCAGGCCGCGCCTGGTCTGGCTTAGGACCTAACTTCCTAACCCCAATCCAGATACCCTCCAACTGCGTGTTAGCGGCGGGCACCGCAGCGGGGCAGCGCGCGGGGCAGGCGGGTCTCGCCGGCCGGGCTGAGACCGACGGGCGGACGGACCCGCGTCGCGGGGTCTCCTCTCCGGCCGGCTGAGACGGACGGGGCGGACGGCACCGCGGTCGCAAGGTCCCCTCCTCCGGCCGGCGGCGGCCGCCCCGTACCAAGCGCTCACGTCTCCAAACTACCTCGCTCGGCCTCCTGCCTCCCCTGCACGCGCGGCG